ATATATATATATATGTATATGTATATGTATAAAAGTGAAGTAACAGTTGCATTTTCAAATATTTCTTTAAGGAGAGTTCATGAGAACTGCAAGATCTGGATCTACAATACTCCATTTCATTTCCACCTCATGTCTCTAGTCTCTGTCTGGAGCCTGATAGAAATTGGCTGATACAGTTTTCTTGCTTAGTTCGGTAGAGTCATTATTTTGTACTTTGTGAAATCCGCTTTCTGAGCATCTGAGGTACACATGGAGAAATCAACAGATGATTTTCTGAAACGGCTTAAGGTTGGATGAAGTTCGGAATGTTGTATGCACATTATTGCCTATGTTTTCTTTATAAATTCAGTCTCGCTGCTCTGTTACAAGTGAAGGTGTAGAGTTTTTTAAGGAATGTTGATCCAGCTCCTGATTGCCTCACTATATTTCTAAAAAGATTGATCAAATGCCCAAAATTTCACACAAATGAACAACTAGTTTAGATAATAACTCACTTTCAGTAAGATTTGCCTCAAAATGTTATAATGCTTTAGAAATTCAGTGTCTCTGAATTCATCATATCTTTTAAGATGTATGGCCAAGATTCAGGTAAAATTACTCTTTGCATGTGATGAAAAAAGCTTTGCAGTGAATGACACTCATTCAAACTTGAAGCTATTAGAAAGTTTCACGGTTGTTGTGTCAAGTTCTGACTCTTCTTCCACTCACTCTGATTTATACTTTGTTCCTTTCATAGGTGCCTATCTTGTGCCATACTTAATTTTGCTACTGATAATAGGGATTCCACTCTTTTTCTTGGAGCTTGCTGTGGGCCAGAGGATCCGCCGAGGGAGTATTGGTGTGTGGAATTATATCAGCCCCAAACTAGGAGGAATTGGATTTGCAAGCTGTGTAGTAAGTCTTTAACATTAATTGTGTGGTTTGCTTTCAGCCTGTAGGATACAGACTTTCTGTTTTGCTGCAGGGAAAGGCCACTGATTTGTAGCTGGGTGTCAGTTTACAATGTTTTGGAAGATCTTAAAACTTACATTGGTACATTAAAAAATGTTGTCATAGGTGTGTCTGTAAAACCAGTTAACTTGTATTTTGTGATTCTTTTGAAACTAGGAACTAGGGAACAGAGTAGTCTTCTGGAGAAAAAATGCCTGTAAAAGTGTAAGTGTTACATGATAAATACAGAGAAAAGAGAAAGTTTAGAAAATGTCAGGTACTTTAATGGGGCAAGCCATTCAGTTTTTTCTGACTCATTTTGGTTAAAATTGCAATCAGTGGCTGATGTGCAGAAATATGCAGAGGTTCAGTAGGATTTTTTTTTTCTTAATGTGCAAATGTAGTTAATAACTTCTTGACATTTTTGATTTTTTTTTTTTAATAGGTATGTTTCTTCGTGGCTCTGTACTACAATGTCATAATTGGATGGAGTCTGTTTTACTTTTCCCAGTCTTTTCAGCATCCATTACCATGGGACCAGTGTCCTTTAGTCAAAAATACATCTCATACCTGTAAGTCTGTATTAATGTTTTTAAAAATCATATAAATTATGTAAAATTTGAGCTTTTCAAACAAAAAGGACAAAAAACACAATTCAAAGAGGTATTTTTGGGAGAAAGTGTTGCATGCAAAGCTGGTTTTCCATCTTAATAAGATGTCATGTTATAGTACTTGGAAAAAAATCAACAAGAAGCCTTATCTAAGATAAATATACTGTATTAGGAAAGCAACATCACTGTCAACAGCATTGTAAAGAGTAATGAAATTAGGAGAGTGCTATTTAGTGTGTTGCACAAAAAAAAACTGATTACTTTTTTCCTGATGTTGGTACTGCTTTTTTATGCTTGCTTGATGAAAAACAAAGGTGGAAGAAAGATATTTCTGCATTACAACTAATAGGATACTTCCTGGTGAAAAGCAAAAAGTGTTGTATTACTAACAAAGCAGAAAATGGAAAACTGTAAACGTCAGTGAAATGCGTGTGATAAAAGCATTGTTTGCTTTTTAAACCAATAGAAATGAGATAATTTGGCATTGGTTTGTGGCTGTAATGAGATGGTCTCACATGGATATATTATACAGCAGCATTAAAAGTTCCTTATCCCTTGTTTTTGGTTATCTCATTATAGTTACACACTTTGCATTATCCTTGCTATTGAAATATGAAATATTTATTTTATTTTTTTTTTATTTCAGATCCTAAATTTTCTTTAATTACCTTTTGTCGTTTTTTTTTTTATCCTTTTAATAAAGAAGATAACCAGGGACATTTGAAAAGTAGTGTGGTGTTTTTATAGTGTCTTTGGCAGAGTTGTTTGCTTCAGTTGTTTGAAATAATCAGTATTTGTGAATGTTGGCACACAGTCAAATTGACTGTATTCCACAAGCTATTGTCCATTAATCGAGCCACAGTGGTTGTTTACGTACTCTTATCCTGCCTAAATATTAAGATGTAGTGTGTCAGCTTAACTTCAGCAGAGGTCATCTGAACCAAGCATAAACAAAGAAAAATACTACATTTGATAACATCCTATCATTTTTGACAACTTATCAATTTGTTTCAGTGAAGATCTGACACCTGTGTTACGTTTCTTAGAATTAATCTATTTTTCCATTCTTTTCATTAATTAACTTGATTCGGGACCTAGCTTAGAGATATGATTGATTGTCAGATATAAATAATTTATAAAAAAATTAAGTAAATTCTTTCATTGAAGAATTCTTTCTATTTATATGTGCTATATGTCTAGATAGACACGGTTTCTTAAACTTTGGTAATATGAGTAAAGCAGTATTGCAATATAACCAAAAAATCACCTCTGGAATACGCATAGCAGCTTTGATTTAATATAGCAGTGTAGGAGCCATTTTTTTCCTTTCCTCATAACTTTGGTATCATTATGTTATTATTTTATTGTTTATAACAGTTATTAAATGCCTGTTGATTTGAGCAGCATATCAAAGCAGACACAATTGAGAAATTGTTTTCCATGTATTTTCAAAATTGTGTTCAATTTCAGAGGGATATTTTTCATAGTATGTAAGTCACAGTGTCATGTGTAGGTAATCTAATCTTATGTGTGATAAACGGAATGTATGTCTTCAACTAGGCCTGCTTACTATTTAATACTTAAGTGAAAATAGTAAATTCTGTCTAGGACTTGGATTGACCATATGCAGAGGAGTATATTGTCCCAAAAGGGTGTTTTAAAAAGATATACCCAGAACTTTTCACTGATAGCAGTCACTTTTTCATTTAGTCAATGTCATAAGAGTCTTTGTGAATTCAGTTTCTCAGTAAATGATGACGGCACAACTACCAATATTGAGAATTGATAGAACATTGTTATGAAATGTTGGGAAAATATTTCTGTCCTGAACCCATTCTTCACTTGCTAACATCTCTTGACAGTTGTGGAGCCAGAGTGTGAAAAAAGTTCTGCAACCACTTATTACTGGTACAGAGAAGCGCTGAATATTTCCAGCTCTCTGTCAGAGAGCGGGGGTTTAAATTGGAAGATGACTATCTGCTTGCTGGCTGCCTGGGTCATGGTATGCCTAGCCATGATCAAAGGCATTCAGTCTTCAGGCAAAGTGAGTATACTGTTTACCTAAATGACAGTGTTTTACTTTGAAACATTTCGTGAGATTTTTGTTCACCTCACCCTCTGTTTACTCTCTCACGAAATCTGTAGGAACGGGTTAGAAGCTGTGACTCACACCAGTATTTGTATGATCTCACGTAGAGGAATGTTAGTAGTTAAGCATTAAAATTGGAGTAATTTTAGCGGGAATTGTAGTAATTTAGTGGCAATTGGGATCTGAAGAAGAGTCATTTCTGTTCGAATCAGTGTAACTGTTGCAAATAACTCTACATCAACTTTATTGTGCAGCCTAAGTCTGCGTATTTCTGAATATTTAAGGAATTAGGTTTCCTGTATACTCACGGTATGATGGCAGTGCACCCAGATCCTCAAAATGCCTTGCCGTTCTTCTTTTTATTGTTACCATCATTGGTATCCACGCTTCTGTCATTAACGCAGCTGCTTTTCAGCATTCTGGGTTGTTTCTTTTGACTAGTGACTAACCATCTCTTTGCACCTGAGTACATCACCTTGTCTTCTTTCCTTTCCATGCAGCCAGCTGGATTGGCTTGTGAATGATTTGCTAGCTCTGTGCATCTCAGTGGGATTTTCAGATGAAAAATAATCTGTTCTAATAGCAAAATTCTTTGTTATTAAAAGGTTTGGCACTGAGGTGGAAATTTCTGTGACCTCTTTAGTGTATTTCAGTTAAAGAAACAACTAGCAAGTTTAGTGAGAGAATCATTTCACTAAACTTTAAAGTACAAAATAGATTTGCTTTTCAATGGTGGGGAATGCAAGATCGTATTTGATTACTAATTTTTTTGTTTTGTTTTATCAGGAAGCATTGCTTAGTGATGTGAATCTGTTGGTTATGTGCTTTCTATTGACTCTTTGTCTTTGCTTCTGAAGGCAGAATGAGTTTCTATTCATGCTGCCTATCTTTACCACACCATGTACTTGAATCAAAGTGCATTTATAAAGTGAAGCATTTCTAAAACAGTCTATTTCTGTCCTCCTCATCATCATCTCTTTGGATTCACACTGAATTTGCCTGGAAGTCCAGCAGTTATCAGTTAGTCAATGACAACTGCATTGTTTTAATACAGTACAGAATTTATTTTACAGTCATGTGATTTTGCTTTCTCCTGAAGAGATAAGGGGATTAGGAAGTGTCTTGCATATTTCTTAGAGCATATGATTATCAATACGGTGATATATCCAAAAGATACTGTGTAGTGAATGAAACTATTGAAAATAAAGGCCATCGATGTTATGTTAAATTTTTTCTTAATGTTTTTCAGATCATGTATTTTAGTTCCCTTTTTCCTTATGTGGTACTTTTATGCTTTCTGATCAGAGGACTACTCCTTAATGGGTCAGTGGATGGAATTCGTCACATGTTCACACCTAAGGTATGTGCTTAATTTCTGTTTGCAGTGTATTAAAGTTTCCATGGCAATTTGACCATTTATGAATGCTCTCATTTAAGCTTCTTGTCTTCATAGAACATTTGGCCATATTTCTCTTTGGTTAAATTGCAAAGTTGTTGTTGACCTCAGTGGCACAATATCAAGCCCTAAGGTCCAAAGGCTTTAAGTGTTCCAAGGGTCTGTGTGGAGTTATCTCCTTTAGGTGAAGCATTCCCAGAGTTAGATACAAAGCTAAGCAACTGAAAGTGCTGTTTACAGGGTTCAGGATGTTTAGAGAGTTCCAAATACTGAAAAGAGAAGTGAATCTTAGATCTTGCCATTCTCTAGGATTGAAATGCCTGGTTCTGGGATGTCGCAGTGAAATGCCTTATCTTGAATGCTGTCATGGCTTTACATAATTAACTTGTCCTTTTGAAAGAGGATAAATTTGTTCCTTTTTAGAAATAAATTAATGCTGTTTGCACAGTAGCCCAAAGTACACGAGACTTGTCTTTAATAGTGAAGTAGTCTAAGTACTCACCACTCAGCTTTCCTTACTATGTTTCTTAGGGTTGTTGTGCCAAGATAGCAGCAGATCTAAGCATATATTTTTTTGCTGTCAGCATTTTTACCAGGAACATGTCTTACACAACTTTATAACTACAGAGATGAGAAGGGATGTTATGAATCATTGTGTAGCCTGAAGGTCTAAATTCTACCCACACCTATCTTAAATGCTTATAACACCTATACTGCAGGAACAGCGTGTTTGAGTAGTCATAATGCTAGGCTTCATATTGTATTATGAAATGGACTTTCCAACAAGTCCATTTCATAATGCAGTTGAGCAGAACAGGACTGATGTTTCAGAAATGAAAGCCAAGTAATAAGATGATTAAAATCGATGCACATAGTGGCTAATGCCAGATAACAGGATGTGGTCAGTTGTTTTGGTTTCAGGTGTTTTGAGTCTGTGGAGAGCTGTCACCTTATAAAAATGACCTTTGATAGCTATCATATTGTTATTTCTTGCATTGTGATATGCAGTCGTGCTCCGCTTCACTGGCTGTCACTGCTTTAGAGAGTCGTGGTTGTGCAGGAACTTGCAGGCTGCTCAGGCAAATTTGGGAAATCTGAGGAACAGAGAAGTGTAATGCTTACTGATGACGAGGAACTCTGTAGCAGAGATGAAATACAGACCTCTTTGAAGTTATAATTTGGTTTCTCAACCACAGTGTTAATTCTTTAACTGGAGAAGTACCACTAGATAGTGAGGGAAAGTAAAAACACTGAAACTCCCCTTGAATACCAACACCTCTTCGCTATTTCATCTTTCATGAGTTAGACCTAAAATAAGTTGCAGCTCATGCTTACTTTATAGTTATAGCTGAAATAAACAATTGCTTCAAGTGTTCAGATTAATGGTCTTGAAAGAAAAATTGTTGTTAATTTCTTCTACTGTTTTCTAGTTCTGTATCTCAAAATTGTAAGTTGTGGTTTAAATTTGAGGTTAGGAGGCCTGTATGTCACGTACAGTACCTGTGAATATAAACCCTTAAAAGTATTTTCATTATAATATCTGATTGTTTCTGTACTTGGGTGCTAGTTTGAACTGTAGATTTGTATGAAACTACCTGAAGGAATTCAGACTCCCCCACCATTGTTGTTCCCGTTAGCTCCATTGTGCTAACAGTTTATTTGGGCAGGCGGACTGTAACTGATCAAGGTTGAAAACTATTCAAATAGACATGAGGGGAGGGGGAAACATCTTTCAGCCTTGATTAGTTCAGCAAACAACCCCATTTTGACCACAGACTGTCAAAAGACATTCCCACAGAAGAGCTGTGTCAGCACAGCAGAGGACTGGCACACATTGGTGCAGGTGTGAGAGCAGAGGGCTAATGAAGAAGGGGAAAATTCCTCTGCTTTGCGTGGTTAATGAACAAAACAGAATTTCTAAATAATAACCTTAATGAAAACCTAAAGAAAGGTATATGAAAATCATACTGAAGTCAACTACTGTAATGAAACTGTAGGACCATATGAAGTTTAAACAGAGCCCCCAAAATTTCACAGAAAATATCTTATAATAGCAAATAAATTACAAGTTTATTTTGAAATGCTAGGCAATGTGTATCTGAGAAGGTACTACTTTCATGATACGAGATGAGGTATCGCAGAAAGTGAGAAGTGTGGCGATACTTGATTCATTTAGAGTTGGTAAAATTAAGGCTAATCCTCGAGCTCCCTCCAGTGGAAAAGCTCCGGCATGACTGCGTGATACAGGCGGATTGAACTACCTGCAGTAGCTACTTGTGCATTGTAATTATCACAAAAATTGTAAGTCAGGAACAAGTCAATTGTCATACATACCTTCTTTTTTTCCTCAATATATTGTACTTTAGCTATGTATACATGAATAAAGAAGGTATCTGCCTTTATGGGAAACTGGAAAATTTTTCAAAATATTGTCACAACAATAGCAGATTTTTTTTTTCCTCAGAGTAAGACAGTTAGTGTAATGATGCTGGCATCTATGCTGATGCTTTTTAATTTTACTATTTTTGATAAGCCTAGGGTTTTAAATAAAAATTTTAAAAAATCACATATACAGACATAAGGTCTTTCAGTGTTCAATGAACGCAGGCCCTGAATCAACTTGAGAAGATCTAATGTTTAAATCCCACACGTACTTCTTTTTTATGATTCAGTATCTAGAAGAATCTGAGATAGACACATGATGACTCATAACTTTGTAACAAAGATATTTCTTGAAGTTTGAATGAGCAGTACAGTTCAATTTTTTGATAAAAGACATAGTTGCCCCCCAGGTACATGACACATATAACTTAGGGTAAGATCAGGGCGTCTGGCTTAAGGAAGATTTGACTTGTGGACAATACAGATTGTGGTGGCCAGCATTTATTTCATATGTTGCATTCTGCTTTACGTGTTTGCATGTAATAGAATTCTGTATATGTACCTCATGTTCACTTTTTTTTTGAAAAGTGACAATAAAGTGACTTTAAACATACTTATTGCATTTATAAGAGGGTTGATCATCCCAAAATACATCTTAATTCTAAGAACTGTCAGTAGATAAACTGTAAAAAAAAAAAAAAGTCAGTAAATACTGTTAAAAAAAAAAAAAAGATGGATTTTCTCTCTTATGTCTCAGTATAACTAGCTGCTATTTCAAAAATCTTATAGTTCCAGTAGTGTCTCATTGTGGTGAACATACTGTATAGTATGTTTCTCTTCAAGGATTATATAATATAAAATAATTAGAAGTTCTGTCCCGTAAGTTTGCTCAACTTAAAGTGTCACATTCAGCTTTCATTTTACCATGGTGAAAATACATTTGTAGTGGAGTATTAGCATTTTATGATGTAGGTTGTCTTCCTGCTTGTTTTTATGTTGTCTTTTCATGTAATAGAAATGCATTTTATAGCTGACATATATTATATCTAATTTCAAACAGCTTGAAATAATGCTGGAGCCCAAGGTCTGGAGAGAAGCTGCTACTCAGGTGTTCTTTGCCTTAGGGCTTGGATTTGGTGGAGTCATTGCCTTTTCAAGCTACAACAAGAGAGACAACAACTGCCATTTTGATGCTGTACTGGTGTCCTTCATCAATTTTTTCACTTCTGTGCTGGCAACTTTGGTGGTGTTTGCAGTTCTGGGCTTCAAAGCCAATATCATAAATGAAAAATGTGTTATCCAGTATGAATATCCATTTTTTAAAATTATTTTTATGGTATATTTCATTTATGAATTAACACAGATCATTGAGTTTGATGTCTCTGTTTTACAGAAATTCAGAGAAGATTTTAAAACTTTTGAAAACAGGCAATCTGAGCCATGATATGATCCCGCATCATATCAATTTCTCGAGCATTACTGCAGAAGATTACAATTTAGTTTATGACATTATTCAGAAAGTTAAAGAAGAAGAGTTCGATTCTCTCGGTCTGAAATCTTGTCAAATTGAAGATGAACTTAACAAGGTGAGAGTAGTAAGTCTTAAATACAGATTATGAATGTATGAATATTTGTAATCCTGAAATAAATTGTGAAGTATACTTACACAGAGTATCAGTACAGTGTACCTAAGAGCAATACATCTATAGAGATCCATATGAAAACATGGTTCCATGCAGGTTTGCATTCCAGCCCATCTGAGGACTTTCAGGTCTGATGTCTTAATATAGTCTCCTCTGATGTATAATGTATTTTGATCATTCTATCACTCTCCTCAGGAAGTGATAAATTTTTAAAGTTCTGTTTTTAGAAGAGTTGAGCATGAGAATTTTTCCAAAGACTAAACAATTCAACCTATTCAACGCCTCAAACTATGTCGTCTAATGTTAAGATAGAATTATTAAATATAAATAATACTTCACTAGAAAGTAAAAAGTTACTCTTTGCTTATTAGGTAACTGTTAATGAATATCATCCTGTTTTGAAATCTTTACTGTAAGCCAGATTTGTAAAAGAAAATATATTTTTCTAGCTTTTTCAGAGGGACTTCCAGTTTTACACACTGACCTCTGTGTAGCTGCACCAGCATCTGAAGCTAAAATGTTGTATCAGTGCCTTAAACATTAAAAGTTTCTACACTATTCCTGCCATTTAAATTTGAAACAAATAGGTATAGAAATGTGGTCCTTTATAGACTTAGTGGAGAAAACAGTGTATTCTGTATCAATCCTGTGTCATAGCTCTCATGCAAAATTATCAACGAAAGAGACATTCCAATTGGACACAGGAGGAGTATTTTTCGCAATGAGAACAATCAGCCATTGGAATAAAATCTCCCCAGGGAAGTGGTATTTTCCCAAACATTGGACACTTTGAAGGTTCGGCTGGACAGGGTGCTGGGCCATCTTGTCTAGACCATGCTTTTGCCAGGAAAGATTGGACCAGATGTTGCTTGTGGTCCCTTCCAACCTGGTATTCTAGAATTCTATGAAAGAAGTGTGTTGGTGGTGTCAATGAACTTAAAGATTCTCAGCCAAATCCAATGTTTCAGTAAATAATATTTTAATTAAGTTTACAGGTTTGGAAGAATCGCATATTAGATAGCAGCTTCCCACTGTACCTTCGAGATTTAATCAATGACAGTGCATGAACCCAAAGTCAGACTCTCCCTACAAAAAAAAAATACTGTCTGTGAATAATAATGTGGATTTTTTTTCTCACTGACAGGCAGTACAAGGAACTGGTTTAGCTTTTATTGCCTTTACAGAAGCAATGACCCACTTCCCTGCTTCTCCCTTCTGGTCAGTCATGTTCTTCCTCATGTTGGTAAATTTGGGACTTGGAAGTATGTTTGGAACCATTGAAGGCATCATCACACCCATTGTTGATACCTTCAAAGCCAGGAAAGAAATTCTTACTGGTGAGTTGCACAAATTTTCTTTTCTCACAAGAGCAGTAAGCTAAGTATTTTTTTTTTGAGCGTATGAAGTCTAGTTTTTTGACATGGAAGTTTTCAGTGCTGACATTACAGAGCAGTAAATAACTGTATTCCAGACTGTATGTCCATGCACAGGCACATTAATATCTACAAATAAAATCTTTTCTTGAATGTTACAAGATCAGGAACATCCTAGAACTTAGATTTTAGTGGAGGATTTGTATTACAAGTTTCTGTATTGTCGGTCCTTCTGAGCTCTTCCAGAGTACTTTCCATTCCAGCCTGTGTCACATGTCAGGGAAACAAAGGAAGAGGAAAGAATGAAAATGCATTGCAAATTACTACAGATTATTCTGAAGTAGGCCAAATGAAATCTTAATTTATGATGAAATGTTTATTTTTTTAAAAATCAGTACAGTTACTCTCTAGAGGAACGTATTTTTCCCTGTTGAATGTGGAACGGGTCTTAAACAAGATGCCTAGTTGTTTGGAGTTTTTATTTTATTTAAACACCCAAAGTTATTTGAGTTGTAGCCTGTTCATGTAGTTCTGATAATCTTGTAGCAATTTCTGGTTTTGAGATAGAATGTCAGCGTAAAATGTGAAAGTTAGATTTCTGAAAATTGTCAGGACAGCTGCAAGGGACTTGATGTGCTATGCATCAATACTTGTGACAAGAAGAATAAAAAATGAAAAAACGTAATAAGCTGCTTTAACATTATCTAACTCTATGAAGGAAATAGTAATATATAACAATTACCCCCTGACGCAGCAAAGCACTGCTCTTTCCTGACTGCTTTCCTTTCCTTACTTAGGTAATAGGTAATATTTAACAGAAAACATGATTTTTTTTGCTTTGCTAGGTCTAAGAATCAAATTCTTCATAAAGATAAATCAACTGATTTTTCAGAAGTCCTAACCTATGGAGCACTTGCTTGTTTTTTTTTTAATCAGCTCTTAAATTCTTACTGAATAACCAGTGTGACGTTTAGAAATCAACTGTTCTTTCTAAGTATATGTGCAAATACTGTGATATATAGTAATTATTCTGAAGTAATGGAGCATTTTACAGTAATTCCTTGTTAATGCATTTGACAAAAAAAAACCTGTTAAGATAAAGGAATGTTCAAGAACTGCCTTTCTCTTGTAATTTTTTTGACTGATATGCATGCATGATTTTTGCTAAACTCAGTTGTACTCAAAGGATTACAATTTGATGTGGTGTTTTTATAATTAACTTATAAAATTGAAATGCCTGGATTATGCTTCATGCAGTATCGGTGGGATTTACCAGGGATTATGCCTGCACTAGAGTTTGTGCTTAAAAACGGCAAATCTTCAATTTTTACGGAAGTGTGAGCACATTTGCAACTTCTTGCGCTATGGTTCCAGTTCAGCCCCTCTTGAGTTCGGGGAAACTCAACTCATATGCTTAAAAGTTATTTTGCGTTTGTATTTCCAAATCGGAGTCTGCATGTGTATGTGCCAAGCTATGATGAGTATACCTATCAGAGCCTTAGTTTACAAGTAAAGATGCATATTTTTGGGGTGCTGTGGTAGGACACAATAGGAGGACATAAGAATAGCAAGGATTTCTATGTTCACGTACACATGATTCTGGTGGTCTAATTCTTTTCTCTGGTAATAAAACTGTGAAAAATGAGAGGAGTTGAGGAGATTATCAGTGTTCTTTTGGTTTTATTATCTTGCATTAGGAGTTCACATTGATTTATAATGATCTCTTTAATTCTGTAAATTTCTGTTCTCTGAAATGCATTATAACAGTAGTTCCTATAAGGTTGAAAAAAGTGATTGGTCTTCTACCACAGTATTTTAAAAAATGTCATTGTTTTCCTTTCACTACTATAATCAATACTAATTGATTATCTGGGATTTATGCAATAGATGTGTAAGGATATTTTGTATTTTGTCCCAGATTCATTTCACCTAATATTTTAGATTGCTTAGGTGTATCCTTAGCCTAAATTCCCAACGAGGGAAAAAAAAAGGGCAATTCAAGTGGGAGAATCAGTCTTACTGGTCCTCAACCTACAATTAGTTTCACAACTTACTGAAATTTGGCTTATTTTATGGCTACTTAAGCATTCAGTCCTAATTTTTGATGAATTTAATAGGAAAAAAATTATATTGAGATTCAAGAAATATATTTTGGGTTGTCCTTAAGCAAAAGAAGGGTCAGAATATTGTTGCTTAGTGCACAAATATATTTAGACAGATCCCAATGGGACTTCACATCACGAATGATCTTTTAAGGGAAGTCTATTCAGCCTTTATATTTTTTAGGCTCATAGTCTGAAACCTGGTTCTTTTCACTTCTAAATTCCAAAAAGTGATCTAGCTACCAAGTAACATGGTGTATGATGTTTAGTTTACCAGTTCTATTTATTTTAGTCTTTCATTCACATTAAGTTAAATGTTTAATGAGAAATAGTCACGTAATTAATTTCTGCTGCTTAATCGGGACTGTTGTAATATGGCAATTCCATTAATTCTGATTTCTGTTAGGTAGGGCATAGGTAGGATTCCCAATATTCTTAAAATTGGGACCCTCTAAAAAGTAAAACGTTACCAACTTTGATTATATGAAATAATGTGTTAAAGTATATCTTTGCTGTTTCGAACTCTATTTCTTCTTTGTCTATTGAACTTTGTTATGAATACAGCTCATGTTTCTGTCCTTTATTCCAGTCATCTGCTGCTCGGTAGCATTTTTTATTGGCCTGATATTTGTGCAGCGCTCTGGAAATTATTTTGTGACGATGTTTGATGACTACTCGGCTACTCTGCCCCTGCTTATTGTGGTCATTTTGGAGAATATTGCAGTCACCCGAATTTATGGAATAGACAAGTAAGTGAAGGAAATGCATCTCACTGTCCATATCAACAATATTCATTAAAATAATTATTACTATTTTAATTACAGTGCATGAAGTATTTGCAAAGTACACATAAATACAAGTAAGTAGAAAGTGGGTCAATCTGGATGGGAATCTAGTCTGGTTTTAAGAACAAGTTTGGAGCAAGATACACTTCATTGGGACAGTGTAGTGAAACCCAAAGAACGGTTGCAATGGATCCAAAGAGAGAATGCAGTAAAAGAGGCAAAATTAGAGAGTTAGAAAGGAGGCTGGATATGCAAGCATGAGGAATTTATGTAGAAATGACAGCAACAGAAAGATTTCAAGAAATAACAACCATGGTCTAAGCATCAGATAAGGAACTTACTGAACACATCTGCAGTATTCCAGGAAGCCTGAGAAAGGAACAAAGCAAACTCTAATGGCAGTAACAATAAGAAGGTTTCAGTTTATGAACTAGATTTAGTTTGCAATGTTGTAGCAATTAATTGTCCTTTGCATTAGTTGTGAGAGAGGAAAGAGAGGAAATTAAAAAAATAGGATGAAAACTTACTTGGAAGCAGCACAGCTGACAATGAAGTTAAGTGACTTTCTATCAGTGATGGCTGAAGAGAAAAGACCATCAAGTGCCTCTAATTTTTTTACGTCTTATGACTGAAATCACCAGAATGTGCTCACTAGGTGAGATCAATATATGCCACACTTAAGGAACAGAAGAGTTTGATTCAAAAATAACTCGTGCCATCCACAGATAAAACAGAGTATGCTATACTAACTTGTTGAAGTAATTTAAACATCTGTGATTCCTTTGCATGTACAAAGGGTGACATAGAATGGGTGGTTTTTCATTTGACTTTTCACTTGTTCAAGCTGAGTAATCAGCCAGTCCTGTGCCATAATGAAATAAAACTATAATAAGAAAATTTAATTTTATGGTTTCCAGACATTGTTTCTGGTCTACACAAGTAGTGCCTGGTCTACTTACTCATTAAGGGAGAATTCCCACTTGGGCCACATGTATAATCCTGTAATTGATTACAAATACGTGAAAACACCATGTGGATGTTTTTACACATGGAAACAAAAGATGAAACAGATGACCTGGTTATCAGGTTGGTACCGTCCAGTTGGGTGGGGTTCCACTGTGAACGGAGGTAGACGTGGCAAAAGTCAACAACCTACCTGCGAGGAAGTTGGTATTTAGATGCAGCTAAAATACAATAATCCTTTGCTTCTGAATCAGAGTGCAGTTGATTCATGTTTTCAGAAGAGTTTCTGACAGGATGTAGTGAAAAGTTAACAGCCAAACTTCTCATTCATAACGGCCACCTGAACCTCCCTGTGGATTATTCCTAATAGTTCTTCTGATGTATATTTCTCCAGAATATCCTTATTCAGGAAAGTAGCATTCTTCTTTGCAAAAACTGCTCAATGACTTCAGATTGTCGTTGGCTGTGAGAGCACCAAGGGGTCCTCCTCGTAGATGAAGATCCGTATGTATGTCTTATGAGACACATTGTCTGATCAGATAGGGAAAAAAAAGCAAAAAACATTGCATTCAAAGGCATTACAGCCAAAGGATAGAAAAAAGGCAACAGGTGAATCTCTGTAGCCAAGAAGGAAAATCTGCTATGCTGCAATCGGTGCTAAAGGAGTTTGGTAGCTTTTAAAAGAGCATAAGTAGGATAGACAAGATGAAAGATTTTAAAGTGAAGGTAATAGATTTATGTTCAATTGGATGAAGAACTGGAGATCCCAGAAAGAAAAGGCTATCTATAGAGGACACGGTCCATTTGTAAATTCAGTTTCTTTTTAACGATGTGTTTCATTGCAGTGTAAACAAACTATGCAGTTCAAAAAAAATTTTGAGAGTTTAAATGACAGTAACTTCACAGTTGTAACTGCTTTGAAAACGTATTTATTGTTACAAGAGCTTTTTTGAGATGCACATTCCAAAAGGGAGTGGGACCACAAGGGAATTAAAACAGAATCAGTGCTTGTGCAGACTCCAAAAGAGCTAATTCTAAAAATATTCTCTCTTTTTCTACTGGCTCTGGAACCATGTACTCCTCCGTCAAGAGTACAAAAATAGGAGTTTTGTTCATATCATAACTTGAAATTTTGAGACACAAGGAGACAGTTTTAAAACTTCACAAAGTTTTATTTCAGCAACTTACATGATGCAAACCATAGCTTATGCATAAAGTTATTTTTTACACTGCAGCACACATGTAGGATTGAAATTAATTTTACAGAATTTGTAAGATGTGTTGGTTGTATATGTCCTCAAAAGTAGTGACACATGCCTTAGTAAACAACCCAGTAGACAATATAAGATGATGTTAAAAGAATCTTAGAAAAGAAAGGTGAGTTTAAGTATCTTTCCAGCATGGTCTAGGAAGCAGTTTACTAAGTCACTGCATTGCATAGCAATTCCTTCTGTTCATCTGTTCTGAACCAGTAATACAAGCTCTATTTTTCAGCCTATAAGATAGTCTAAACTGCAGACATTTCTATGCAATCATTTTTTCAGTGTGTCTGTTCCCTCAAATTAGGAGCTATGTATCAATCAAACTTGAAATCTCAGTGTACACACTAAGAATAACTTTTTATTCTTTTCACAGATTTATGGAGGATCTAAAGGATATGCTTGGATTTTCTCCAAGCCAGTATTATTACTACATGTGGAAGTATGTTTCACCTTTAGTATTGTTCTGTTTGCTGGTAGCTAGCATTGTCCAAATGGGATTAAGTCCTCCTGGCTACAATGCTTGGATTGAAGATTCGGTATGTATATAACAGGTGCCACCACCATCACAGTGATCATATCTGAAGTATTTCAGAAATACATGAAAAGACAAAAAATTTGCAATTAGAAATTCAAAATCAGTATAAATAATGACGTGTTTTCTTTGTCTCAAGTAACATTAATGTAAAACCAACCATTTTTTAATTTTAGAGTAGTTCTGCCTTGAAATACGACTGCTTGACATGAACTTTCATGTTTTTTCTGACTTTTGGTTTGTTGATGTATGTTAAAGAAATTCTTTAGGTTGGGAGAGGTTGTTCACTTTCATTAAATCTTATTTTACTGCAGAAAATAGTTGGGGGGTAACACTGAATAAGTAATTTCGGATATCACATCAATTTTTAATGTGGAATTAAGTAGTGAGATTTAGCCATGTCATAAATTTTCCCCTTTGGGAACATGTATCACATTGTAGGTAACAGCTGCATTAAAACTAGTCTCTGATAAGAATGTTTAATTTGTAAATAAACTTGTCTCTGTGAACAAAGGTAACTCCTAAGAGTTCTGCTAGCTTGTAGACTCATCAGCCCTCAGCTGTTTCTACAGACTTGTCATCCAAAATACAGGGAGAGTAAAATGTCAGAGAAATGGATCTCAGGGACAGTTGTCCAAATTAGCCAGGAGGATAAATCGCAGCAAAGATAGGTAAAATGTAAATACAATAGGTTGGCTTTGCTATAGGTGGATGCCTGCCTCTAATCAGACACCCACTGCTACTTTCTCAGGATTCTCAGTGAAACACTCTTGTTATGTTTGATTCTTGCCCACAAAAATTGGAAAGAGAAGTACCTTAAAATACCGAACAAACCATTCCTTTCCATGTACAAAATTAGGCAGAGTCTGTTGGCCAGTAATTCATGGATGCAGTAGAGGTGTGGAGTGCAGTCACTGCCCCAGTAAATGTGTTACAGTTTACATGAAGTTTATACAAAGTGGAACAATTCCACAGGGCGATCAGAGACAGTCCCTGTCTAGACCAGCTATTAGTCTACAGAACAAGGACTGATTTTCCTGGCACAGTTACAGATACCACTGCACACTTGTCTGTTCTGAACATCTTTTAAAGGATCAGGCAATAACTACAGACAAATGTAGCAGAAAGCCTAATGTGAAAATCTTGATTTGGGTTCTGCTAGAGTGCTCTGAGCATCTTGGAAACGACGGGAGAGTGTTTTGGTCCTACTCGCTGGCAGAAAGGAAGCAATCCTACATCTCCATGACTGTTCAAATTTGAGATCTATAGTGGTGCCCACATTGTGGGTGCAAGGTGACAGAAAGATAAATGTGTTGTTTCAAAAACTGCAGGCCTTGGTGAGGACTGCAGGTTTTCTCTTTTTTAAGTAAAGATGTGTTAATAGTTTTTCTCTTGGGTTTCTCAGGCTACGGAACAGTTCCACAGCTATCCAACATGGGGAATGATCGTCTGTATATCTCTGATGGTGTTGGCCATACTGCCAGTCCCAATAGTCTTCATGGTGCGCCGTTGCAACCTTATCGATGACAGCTCTGGTAGTTTGGCATCTGTATCCTACAAAAGAGGCCGGATAATAAAGGAACCTGTTAATCTGGAGGGAGATAATACAAGTCTGATTCATGGGAAGAGTCCAAGTGAAGTGCCATCTCCAAATTTTGGCAAAAACATATATCGAAAACAGACTGGATCACCAACTCTGGACACTGCTCCAAATGGACGTTATGGTATCGGGTACCTGATGGCAGATATGCCTGATATGCCAGAGTCTGATTTGTAACTGCAGAACAAAATGCTGTTTCTTTCTCCTCTCTCACTGATCATGGTTCTCCTATGAGAAGTGGTCAGCTTCACTTACTAGGGTGCAATCTCAGGTGCTCCATAGTGACGGTCTTTAAAGTATCATGACTGTATGTACAGGTTGAGAACACTCCCTTTGGATTAATACTCTGGGTTTTCATTTGCACTGAAGGGAACACATTCAAAATCAATGGCAGCCTACATCTGCCAGCATAGCCAAGAATTTGATTTTTTTAAATTAAATTCTAAATTTACAGCTTTCTATCTCTGAAGCCCAGGTCTCACTCAAATAATAAAATATTTCTGAGCTAATATAACAAAAAATATTTTTTTTCTGCTTTCAGGTTGACTCCCCAGTATTAAAAGTGAGCTCAGAAGCAGTTCACCAAACCCATGTTTGTGTAAACACTTGTATATACCTTATGTAGATATGCTGTACTTACTTTGTTAGCACTGATAATTAGGCTATTAGTTGAGTAAAAAGCAAACCTGCAAACTATTTTCTTATGTAATAGTTGTATAGAGCAATAGTATTAGAAAATCAAGGAGTAGACTTACAGGAAGGCGAGGAGAGATTCCCTGTTCACTGGGGACTGCATAAACTGTGGTTGTATATTTTGTGTAAAATATTTGCTTTTTCAGTGTGAAAACAATGTTAGAGTGAGTCACTCCAAGAATCTTAAGGATTGTGCAGATTCTGCATTTTTTTCTATGCTGTGTGCCTAAAAAAGACCTTCTTGATATTTATTGTGGTTACAAGATTACATATATATTATATTTATATAATATACTTGTAATGTAAATATGTATATTATTCTGTATGTAATCGTTTCAAAAGTTGAAGCAAGATGGCTTTTTTAATTAGTCTCCTTCAGTTTTGCTTCTGTTTTATGCAGATAATTTTTTTCAGTCAGTAATTGTTAAGAACTGTATGGTATTACATTTTAACCTATGAATAAAGAGATTGACAAGGTATTTCTCTGGGATTCCATAATACGCTTACTGTAACACAACTTGCTTTTCCATCAGCTGGACTATCTGAAAGAATAATGTTTACAAGCTGGATGGAGATGCTAAAAGAACCTGAAAAACGAAAGATGCTACATCAGTCATCTTAATAAACTATTGGACACGGACTTTCACTGTGAATACAGTAGCTGATGTAGCACTGTAAACTGGCATGATGCTTTGAAAGCCAGCACATGATTTATTCCTTGCCTTGAAGAGCTTTAAGTTAGGCATAAATTCTGACTTCGTCACCTCTAATAAGCAAAGTGCAGAACGTAATTACGTTATCTCAGCATCAGACAAAGAACCAGATTAATTCATTTGAGGTAGATAAAAGTCTCAGAAAGCTATGCCAAACAAATGAAAAGGAGCAAAATACTAAACAAATCAAAACACCTTAGCAACTTGGTAAAATTCCTTAGAGATAACTTTTGTCTTTGGAGGATAATCCCAGATAATTTTTCCATTTCTAACCTGGGAGCTTTTGAAGCAAGTTCCAATCGTCAGAAAGTTGAACTAGTAGCATTAGTTGAGAAAAAGCTGTATTTAATTATCCAGCTTACCTTAGATTTGTTAGAAGTTGTGCACATAAAATAGGGTTTAAAGTAGTCCTCTGAAATGTATGTGTTAGAACATATGGGAGAGATCTGACATAATTTAAGCAGGTTGCTCATTCATAACTGATCAGTTGGCAATATTGTTATGTGTATAAGGTATTGCCATTAGAGACAGAGCAAGCATGTACACAATATTCTTTGAGCAGCAGCAGACTTCCACCATCGTATCAGTTCAGGCTTCTAAAGTGACTGCTCAGGGTAGTTATCGTGCATCCCCTCTGTGCCCAGTCCGCAGAGGGCAGAAGTCTGTTGTTACAGACTGCTTGCCTGTAGTGGAGCATGCTTTTGGTTATAGAGACCTTGTTTTAAATGTTAAGTGATGGCTAAATGTCTGCTGCTACACAAGACCTATTAAAAAGAATGTGAGCAAGATCTTGCTGTTGAAGTGCAGTAGATGCTTCTGTTCAAAGTATCACAAAGGGGACTTGTAGTGCTTAAGCAGACTGCTGAAAATTATTCTGCTGGGGAATGTCTTGTTTCTGTCCTTTTGCCTGTCTCCTCAAATGCATATTAATGAGTATAGGTTTTTCCACTCATGTAAACCACTGCTTCTCAATCATTTACTTCCTAATACCTCCAATTAGCATGTCTCACCTCAGCTGCATGAAATTTTTGAGGCTTGAGAAAGCCCAGAATATATGTCCTGCCTACTGCCAGATGTTCGATTCATAATTTGATCTTAACCATGATTGACCACCCCAAAGTGCAGAAGTTCCTTCAACCTAATTTAATCTGATGGGCTAAAAATGAAGGCACTGTCTGTTCTGCCTAAAGAAGCAGGACTAGTCCAAAAAAAATAGCTAGATGTGGAGGTTTAAAAACATTAAAAATAATTACTATGAAGTGTAACATCCAAGTCCTTGGATGTTAATGAAAGAACTGCTGAAGCAATGTATGAAATTGTATATTCAGGTGCTGTTAAAACCAAGGGAATTTACACCACTTCCATACTTCAGCTTTGGGAGGAAGTTGCTACTTACTGTCCTTATGGATAAAAAGAAGTAAAAGAAGAGTAGAGGGCAGGAGAGAGAGGTTTCAGATACTTACCTACTTAAAAGCCATAACGTCTGCGTGTCGTGTCAGTCATAACCACTGTTAATTTGCCTTTTTTTTTTTTTTTTAAGAAAAAGATCATTGCAAAAGGCTGTCATGCTTAAAATTAAAGAAAATCCCATTTGTGTCTTACACAATCAGAAATAGCCTAAGAACAAAATCATCCATGTGGAAAGTGAAAATAGATTTCCAATATAATTTAATGCAGAAGGACAGGTTTCTGAAACCAATATGCTTTGTGATTTCCCCAAAGGAAGAACAGAATCAGTCAGCATCAGTATGGCACAAACAAAGGCGGTGTTGTTACCTTCATACTCTTCAATAGAGGTTCTCAAATTCAGTGAAGTGCAGGACAGGGATTATACAGTCTTGTGGCCTTTTTAAAGTCTTGTCTGATGTATCAAAATGTTACTGATACCTTACAGAGTATCATGTAGTGAAGAAAAAAATAAAAGAGAGAAAAAAAAGAGATAAGAATGAAAAAGAAAAAAATAAACAAGAACAATCGTAACCCTATTTTCAGGAAGTAGCCGATAAATGTTAGCTGGTGAGTCCTCACACTGGTGAAAGGGGAGCAGTGATCTTGTCACACTAGGGAGGAATCAGTTTGTGACCGCAGTAGCAGAGAAAAGAAGGATGTGTTTGCAAAAGGGTTTTAGATACTCTGAAAATACTTAACTGTATTGACCACCATGAAAGACTAGCATGCACTATTCAGCTGAGAGGCAGTGTACTCAGAAAAAAGCTTCTTACTGCTACAACATCTTTGGGAGATTAGCAGATATGTAGTTATGCCAGTTTTAAGAAATGCAGGAAATTTAATATTAAAATCTAAATGCCTAGTTAGATTCTGTGGTTCGAGGAAAAAGGGGAGGAAATCAAAAATATAAGCTGTGATTTACTTCCTTTGCCACTGGGTGGTGCTCATAGTTCACGCGTGTTGGAAAAAGGCATCTTTTAAAAGGGGAGAATACACTATTTTTATTCTCCACTGAGACAGAGAATTTTTCAGAATGATCATTGTCTCCCTAAAACTCAGAACTTGATTAATCTTCTGTACCCTCAGATGCTTTCATAGATATTTGATTTTTTCATATATATTCAAGAAAGAAAGACACAACAAATCTTTAATGCTAGTAGAAGCAACAACACACTGTCAGTATCCCAGTGCCAAGGAGTATGCTTTTGGGTTTTGAGAGCAAGCAGAAGCTTCTTGACTCAATATTTTGAAATCAGTAATTTTCTAACATGCCTTTTTTCAAATATCCTGTTGCTATTCTCATTTCTTCGATTAGCGAATTAATTAGTTGACAAATTAATCAGTGGAATAAGAGAAACTCAGATTATATTATTACTAAGAACACTATTAATAATAAAGACTTCAATGCTTCTCACTGCCATCATTGGTAAATACTGAAAGTTGCAAAGAGGTAGATGAGAGCTGAGGGGGCAGCAAGGAGCCCCAAGAAGGGACAGCAGCTGAAGGAGTGACTCAAGCCTGCAACTTTGCTTTTGAGGAAAGCAACTACTGTGATATCTCGTAGTGTTTTAAAAGTAGCACAGCTTCTAAACATGCCTTGGGCAGCTGTTTAACCCTTTTGGCAAAGAGGTTGTAAAGCATTTCTCTCTAGCTCTGACAGAACAACCATGTCTCTCATCTGTACTCTATTCATCATTACTTAGTACTAAATGAGTGAAAAATACCAAGGCACTCTAGTCTCAAATCAGCATCAATACATGTCTTTGTTGTTGACTTTTTTTCCCAACAAAGGACACAGAATGGCAATGAATGCTCCTGGGCCATAATCTTTAAATTACTGTGTTAAGACAATTTAATCAGTGAAAAAACAGATATAGACATTCTCTCTTTTTAATTACTCCCATTTCTTTTTCTGCTCTCAAGATGTCCTCTAGATGTCTCATGTCCAATCCAAACTCAACACGTGGAAAAAGAAGAATGCATTTTCCATCACTAGAAGTTCAAGGGTATGAGATACTTTCTTTACCAAAAGAAGCAGAACCAGTTATCGGGAAGAAAAATGGTACGGAAAGAAAAATGAAATTTGCTTCAGTGCAAGTCTGGTTGATTTCCAGATTTTTCATTCAAGCAAAAAGGAAACACATGCAAAGGAAGAGTCAGGTTTGCAACCCAAAGAATTAAGAAAAATATTAAAAGAAATATTTTGGTGAAAATGGGTGGAACTGAAAAGGGGTGGAACTTAAATGGAGCACATTAAAAGAAGGAAGAAGAAAAAAGATACTGTGGAAATAAGACACTCGATGAATGACAAAGTATAAACGAAATAGATAGTAGGTTTAGGCCCACCCAGACAGCAACTAAAC